TTAAACAATATTGACAAAATCTTTTAACAATACTGACTTGGTCCAACGTCAAACCTAAAAAAATATATATGTAATGATGTAAAAAATATTGACTCGTTATATTGATTTGGTTCAATGTCAAACCTAAAAAGTAAAACATGTTATGATGTAAAACAATATTGAATAGATCATCATCAAACAATACTGACTTGGTTTAACGTCAAACCTAAAAAATGTAATGATGAAAAAATATTTTGACTCATTAGTAAAAATATTAACATGGTTCAATGTTACACCTAAAAAGAAATACATGTAATGATGTAAAACAATATTGACTAAATCATTAAACAATATTGACTTGGTTCAACGTCAAACCTAAAAAAAAAATGAATTTTCAGTCACTTTAAGGCACATTATGTGTAAGAAAAGAATAATAATTCTGTCGAAAGTGCAATAAATGAGTTTAAATATGCTGTAATATGGATTTAGATCATGTAAGATGCTTATCATCTGATAAAAATAGATTTGAATATAAAATAATTTGTGATAAAGCAAGTAAACTAATACAAAATACTAATTAACTTTAACTGTTACTTGTTTAGTGTCATGACAGGACTTTCTGTGATTTTATCTTATATTTTGAAAGTTACTCTCAGTACCTGGGTGAAATATAATATAGTTGCATGGCAACACAACCCCACCTCCTTCAGAACTTGGAGCCGGCCATGGTGGGAAATTCTGAGTCGGCTCACCAGTAACTTCAGCTTCGATATGTCCTTTGTCCATAATGGTACGGAAAAAGCCAGCTATCCCTCGTGGAACATGGCCAATGGAAGTCCTGCTACATCTCGCAACCGTAGCTAGCGTTTTTGGTCAGTGAGACTAACATGTAACAATGTTTGGAATGACTCAAGTGCTGGCAACCACACCAAGCAGGCATCAGCATCATGGATATTTGTATATTCAGACAGTTAGACGTGTTGGGGTGTAATTGATGGTGGTCTTATTTGGAAAGCGTGATACCCTTTGATAACTAAGTTTTAAGGACCATGGATTGTTCTGTAGTTTCCAGAAAAATACAAATTATTTCATTAATAAAGTAAAATTAGATTTAGCAATAGCTTTATCTATATAAAAACTTATCTTAATGAGAATATGTTAAGAAAAAAGAATAAATAACAGCACAGCACTTAAGCATTTTGTAATCTTTTATGGGCTGGCCATGTTTAAAACTATTATTCTTTAATCTATACTATGTGTAACAAATTTCATGGTACATTTATTGACAATCTGCTCAAAATAAGTCTGCGTCTTTATCAGCAGGTCTTGAAACACATTCTGCGTGCAACCACTTATCACAGTCATCACACTACAACCACAGTTTATCAACACCAGATGACAAATCTTCTTCCCAGGTAGCCAGACACGACGCCCCTTACAAAAGTCTGTACTCAGTTCTACTTTATTAACTTGATTTGCTTCACTCGTTTTCCCCTGGTACCTTTCTTTGCTTACATTCTTCTTAGACTACCCTTTCTTTAAGGCATTCGCACTTTGATTAGTTTAATTTTTTATGTATGCCAGTTTTGCTTGGTGTTCCTTTTCTGCAAATTTCACCACTGTTTGAATTTGCTTCAGGGACATTGCACGAATGCTCTCTGGTGAAGAAAGATTGTCTGGCAAGCTGTTAAGTAATGTTTTTCTAACAGGCTTTACACTTTCTGCTTCCTTAGGATAAACTAAAGCCTCTCTGAGTGCTGGTAAGATCTGAACTGAATTGGACTATTCATCAGTTGATTGCACGTTATAGCATTGTATGACTAAACTGCAACATCTGCTTATAAATCCAATCCAGTTTTTATTTATTCTATCAGATGACACAGCAGTACTAATTGGATTTGCTTTCTGGTATAGTTTTTTATAAATGTCAAAATGTCATAGCCTTCAGACAACCGTGATTGATATCTTTCACGAACAGGAGTAGATAATGTTTCTTGAAATACTTCAAGTGCTCCCTTTGACTTGACTTGTTCAGGACATTCCTCTACTTCAACTTCTTTGACTGTACCAGACTTTCTCGACTTATCATTGTAGAATGTCAGCCCAGGTTTCAGACATTCATTTGAAATAACCGAGCTATACACTGGATAAATTCCTGACGTTTGAAGTCATTGATAACAGTCAGAGGTTTGTATAAGTTCAAAAAGCCTCTGTTAATTTCTGGAAAAATATCTTTTTCCCAATGCTTCTTCCAGGGTTTTCACGTGCAAATTTTCTGGCAACCAAGTGCAATTTCGTTTTCAAAGGACCGAATACACCTTATCAAAGGGTTGCATCAAATGTGTCGTATTGGGGACAATGCGATACAGCAAAATGTCCTTTTTCTTTGCTTTCACAAACACTTCTTGGCTAATGTGACTGCCAACATTGTCTAAAAGTAACACAACAGGTCGCTCAATACCAGCAACCTTATCGAAGTGATCACTAAATTTTGAAAATGTTGTGCCGTCCATCCGGCCTTTCTTCGTATAGGCAATATAATTTCCTTCTGGAGCTCTATTTAATGGATCATATGCTCTAGGTTTGGGCTCAGGAAAAACAAATAATGGTGGCATCATTTGTCCTGATGCATTGCCACAGTACATCACAGTTAGACGTTGCTTTCCAGCGCTTATTTGAGGCACAGGAATATCCTTACGGGATGGACCTATAACTTTGCTCTTGTTTGCACCAATGTTGAAGCCAGTTTCATCCGCATTCCAAATACAACCTGGTTTTTCCAAACAACCATTACTGATCAAGGAATCCCTATAATTTGTGTACCATTCACTAAGTATTTCTTGTGAAAGTTTTGAACGCTTAAGTTCAAAAGGTTTTTCTTCTGACCGTTAAAGCCCATGGAATTGGGTTTCATAATCCTTTGGTTAAAAACCCCAAAACTGAAACCCCAGGTCTCCTCCATTGGGAAATTTTTTTGGGTTTTTTTTTCTTTTTCCCCACAATCCTTTGAAAAGCCTAAAACCTACCACAAAATTTTTCTAGGCTCTTTACACACGGACCGTTATCCGCCCAACTCACTTTTAACCATTCAGCCATAGGGAAATTGATTTTTCTTTCCCCAGGATTGAAAACAGTAAAAAAAGGCCTTTTTCATATTTTTAACTATGATTCTTGAGCTATGATACAAGAGCTTTAGAGGAGACAGTCACGCTCAACTAATCAAATACTGGATATGATAAGGAAAACAGAACTATGAACAAAATAATCAATTATGATAGAAATATATTTTTGTATCAACATCAAGAAAGCAATCAAAAGTTCAATAATTAGAAACATAAAAAATTATAATATGCAAGAGACCATATCAGACATAACTATGCTTATATGGAAAAGACACATTTGAAATGTGAAATCAATCCCTTCAATAACAATACTGATACGAGCTAATGGTGTATGAAGTTTTTCAAGTAAAATCATAAGTTAACCCTTTCCCCCATGAGCATAATTATTGTGAAAAATGGCCGTTTTCACTGAAAAGCCTCCTGTTACAAGTTCAAACTGCTATGAAACTATGAAAAATGCTTCAATACTAATCAAACTTGGCACAAATGTTGACTGGACTATTGCCTTTGTAATGACATGCTCAGTCTTAAATTTCCTGTTACCATGGCAACGAGGGGATATCTCAAAATTGCCAAAAATCACTATCTTGCCTCGATTTTTTCCATCAAAATTTATTTCAAAGTGCTGCAACTTCTCAAGGGATTGAGATAGAGTCAAAGGCTTTTCAGCGTTGGTTACATGTTACATTATGATCGACCTGGGGCCGTTTTTAGCCTCTCACAAGTCCAAAATTTTCTTGGCGATGAGGGGGACTCCGCCCCCCTTCAAACCCCCCTAACGGAAGGGGGCACATCCCCCTTCTGGCAACCCCCTGATGTATCTTTTGGATGGGGTGGCGCCGAAAAAGTGCTTAATTTTTTTAGCAACATTTTTCAAACAAAAACATGTGTTGGGGGCCCAAATAGGACATTTTTTCACTATTTGAGGCTAAAAAAAGGGGGGGGGTCGAAAGGGCGTTGTTTCGCGTATATATGAGGTAAAGGGTTAACAAAAAATGATGAAAAACTTTGGAATCACCTAAAAACTAGTTTTTGCATGTTAACATGTGGTCTTTCACCTAATTTTGGTGAAAATTGTTGTTTTGTAACATTTATAATTTTTTTAGTTAGCCCTTTCCCCCATGAGCATATTGTGAAAAATGGCCGTTTTCACTGAAAAGCCTCCTGTTACAAGTTCAAACTGATATGAAACTATGAAAAATGCTTCAAAACCAATCAAACTTGGCACAAATGTTGACTGGACTATTGCCTTTGTAATGACATGCTCAGTCTTAAATTTCCTGTTACCATGGCAACGAGGGGACATCTCAAAAATGCCAAAAATCACTATCTTGCCTCGATTTTTTCCATCAAAATTTATTTCAAAGTGCTGCAACTTCTCAAGGGATTGAGATAGAGTCAAAGGCTTTTCAGCGTTGGTTACATGTTACATTATGATCGACCTGGGGCCATTTTTAGCCTCTCACAAGTCCAAATTTTCTTGGCGATGAGGGGTCCTCCGCCCCTCTTCAAACCCCCCTAACGGAAGGGGGCACATCCCCCTTCTGGCAACCCCCTGATGTATCTTTTGGATGGGGGTGGCGCCGAAAAAGTGCTCAATATTTTTAGCAACATTTCTCAAACAAAAACATGTGTTTGGGGCCCAAATAGGACATTTTTTTCACTATTTGAGGCCTAAAAAAAGGGGGGGGGGTCGAAAGTGCGTTGTTTTGCGTATATATGAGGTGAAGAGTTAACAAAAAATGATGAAAAACTTTGGAATCACCTAAAAACTAGTTTTTCCATGTTAACATGTGGTCTTTCACCTAATTTTGGTGAAAAATTGTTGTTTTGTAACATTTATAATTTTTTTAGTTAACCCTTTCCCCCATGAGCATATTGTGAAAAATGGCCGTTTTCACTGAAAAGCCTCCTGTTACAAGTTCAAACTGCTATGAAACTATGAAAAATGCTTCAAAACTAATCAAACTTGGCACAAATGTTGACTGGACTATTGCCTTTGTAATGACATGCTCAGTCTTAAATTTCCTGTTACCATGGCAACGAGGGGACATCTCAAAATTGCCAAAAATCACTATTTGCCTCGATTTTTTCCATCAAAATTTATTTCAAAGTGCTGCAACTTCTCAAGGGATTGAGATAGAGTCAAAGGCTTTTCATCGTTCGTTACATGTTACATTATGATCGACCTGGGGCCATTTTTAGCCTCTCACAAGTCCATAATTTTCTTGGCGATGAGGGGGACTCCACCCCCCTTCAAACCCCCCTAACAGAAGGGGGCACATCCCCCTTCTGGCAACCCCCTGATGTATCTTTTGGATGGGGGGCGGCGCCGAAAAAGTGCTCAATTTTTTAGCAACATTTCTCAAACAAAAACATGTGTTTGGGGCCCAAATAGGACATTTTTTTCACTATTTGAAGCCTAAAAAAGGGGGGTCGAAAGTTCGTTGTTTCGCGTATATATGAGGTAAAGGGTTAAAAGAGGAGTTACTCTTGAAATAAAGGTGCTACAATAATGACCTTTGTCATGCCATGATGTGAGTAATGATAGTGACAAAGAACACTTTTTAAAAGTCGGGGGTGGGGTAATTACAAAAATGGTCATGCTAGAGTAACAAATCTATCACATGTGATGTGGGTGATAATAAGTAACAAACATTGGAAGATAAAAGTAGATACCTCAAGAAATGAAAAAGTAATAATGATAAAATAACTGTTTTATTAAATTTTGAACAAAACTCAAAGTTCAATGGGGAAATAATTATGTAACAAATGCGTGCTAAAGTAATAAGTCTTGTAACACATTATGTGGGTGATAATTAAGAACATTTATTTGAAGTTTAAAGTGGATACCTTAAGAAATAAAGAAGTTACAGTAAAAAATAATAATTTTTAAGGAAAAAAGTTCATAGGGTGATAATTGAGGAAATATTTTTGCCAGAGTTATGAACATTGTCACATAACATTTGGTTGATAAGGAATATGTATTTGAAATTTGAAGCTGATATCTTGGGAAATAAAAGAGTTATAATAAAAATATTTTACTGCACATTTTTTTAAACTGAAATCAGGACGCAGATACCGGGCGAGAACAGCTCTCAATATATTTTGTATAGAATAGCTGAAAATGAAAAACAGTCTGTACTTTGCATCTGATTTATTCAATTAGCATGATCAAAGAAGACATAGTCTGGAGTACACCTGAATTTACAAGTATGTACATGTAGTTTTCTTGGTACTCAGTAGAATCTAGTACAGTATTTCACTGTTGCAGCAGTTTATACTGCATAAAATACCATCTTTTAGCATGGACTGCATAATTTACATGCAATAATGACATAAATAAATTAAATTTTATATTTATTTGTCTACAAACCAAAATTGTCTTTAAAAAGCATTTTCTAAAACATGTTGAATAACTTTGAGGCGGTCCCTTCCTGAAAAAAATTGCATGACCCGCTATTGGACAACGTGATGCAATTTAATTGACCAGCGCTATCGATATAATTCCTCATGCATTTTTTAAACAGCTGCTGCTGCAGACAGTTTACATATTGGGCATCAATTACCTACCAGCTTTGATCCAGTATGTAACAAAGCAACGACTGCAAATTTACAAATTATGTGCATTAATTATTTTCCAATGATTTTTATTATTTTAAAGACTTCTAACATTGTTTTATAAATTTATTTGTACATACGTACAATTGTTATATTTCCGATAAACGGCATAATTTTTAATGAAAATTAAATTAGTTCATACCTTAATGTGTGTTGTGATCACGTGATGGTTTCAGCCAACATAGTCGGGCAGAGAAAAAGTTTGCAATTTGTAAATGATAATATTTATGTAGCAAACAAACTTTGATTTGCAAGTATTAATTTCATATTATATTTTCGGCAGAAGAAACTGTCCAAGTAGGGCCAGGCATTTTCGTATCGTAAAATAGCTGCCGTTACAGTATCACGTGATTATCCCAAGCACCATCGCGACTTACCGCGGGAATTATAAATAAAGCTAACCTGGGATAGGAAATACCTATTTATATTTATTTGTCATAAATATTAACAAACCGTATCTTTTGGGATTTATTGGATCAATCAAAAACAAATAATGATGTTTTTTTGTCAATAAATAATGATTTCTAAAATCTGTGACTATGATTTTCAATGAAATTCTATATACCTTTAATATATTTGAATGGTTTTTAATGCTCTGTAAAAAAAGAAAGATTAAAGATCGTGTCCGTGTTAGATATGTTTGACCAGATTAAAGAGTTCAGAAAACAAAGAAATACGCGTGGAAAAAACGGGGTTTTATTGTATACATTTCTATTTCTGTGGGTTTGCAAGATTTTCATATGGTCTGTTCAGTGGAAGATGTGTAATTTTGTATAAATGTTTTAAATCAGTAAATTGGCCACGCATTGTTCTTTTATTAGAATCACTTTCCTCATCAGAAGGCATGAAACTTTTATATTATGATATATTTATAACATTCCATGGAAACGTTTAAAAATAAAAAATATCTAATGACATGTTTGTTCATTTTATATAACACCTTTCATGCAGCAAGCATAAAAAGTCTCCACAGGAGTTAGTATGCAATCGTACCTATATTACATACGAATTTATGTAATATTTTTCTTGTTAAATTACTGACTGATTCGTTAGTGGCTATGACCCGCTAATGGCTAACTCACTGTACAGTGTTAATTGTATCTTCTTGACAAAGGTTTGAGAATCTGTACAAAATGGCCTCTCAATCTATGGATAGGACTGCCCGATAAAAAGTAAATATAATCATACAGAAATAGACTAGAAAGTAAATAAGCGTCCTCAATTGACCTTCAAAGACACTTAAAATTGGGGAAGAGATTAACAAAAGAAGGGCAACGTCCCGGGGAAGTAGCCTTCACAATATTACGTCGCACACGACGCCCCGTGTTTATATTTTATAATTACCCCTCACTTTTTTGTAATGTTAATTTCCATTAGGGTACTGGGAGTTATTAATACTGTTAATGCAAGTGTACCACGTGACTAAGAAATTTGTACTGTTACATAGGTAATATAAGTTCAAAAGTACTTTTAAGCAGTATAAAATCTGGTCACCTGGTTTATTTTCTAAAACAAAGACGGTCGCCCCTTTTCTCGATTCAGCCTCTTAGTGACAATAGACAGCTGCTTGCACCTAGAGTTTATTTTGCGTACAAACTCATTCAAACCGAGTCTGCAATGTTCATGAAATTTTGTTGTGATAAATGCATCCGAGGGATTACTTTGTTTCCAGATAATTATTCTTCAGTACCTCTCAAGCCGATGCTAGGGGGCATGGGGGATGTTGCATTTTTCATTATCCCTCATGTACAGACTTAATCAAACCGAGTCTGCAATTTTCATTTATTTTTGTTGTGATTAATGCTTCCGAGGGATCACTTTGTTTCCAGATTATTAAATATCTTTTGGTTCAATAGAAAAAAGTAAACATTCGTTTTCTTCGGAAAAGAATAAAAGAAAATAACTTCCTATGTTCACTTACAACTTGCAAGGTAAGAAGAATTGAGTTATTGTTACTCTTGGTTCAATTTTTATATTAAGTTAGATTAAGCTGTTTTCAGATCATTATAGTATTTGTTCGGGCTAACACCTCGGGTAACAGTAGTTTCCTCGGGATGATATCTTTACTCTTATCAACAAACACGTGTTATTTATATACTGTTTTGTATGGCGGGGATAATGTCAATATTTTTTTAACTATTGCCCAATCATAATTCTTCACCTTCAGTCCAAAGCAGAAAAACGTAGACAAATTTATAGAAACCAAAGATCATATAAATGCAAAATGCACCGCTTAAACGATTATCAAAGAGTTATATAAAAAAAGTTTCAACAAAAAGGTTTTATGTTTCGAATAAGCTGGATTTAAGACTATTTAAATGTTTGGGAAAAATGACCACACTGTTTTTCCAAGTGAAGTTGTCTCGTAAAAGTTATGTGTTAATTCTGTTGTGGTAAATATGCATAAAAAAGCTTTGAAAACTAAATACAACACGCCGCCTCCAGCTTTATGTTGATTTTTACGAAAAAATTGTTCTAACGACTTTTGTGATTTAATTTCTCTGAGTCCGTTGAAACAGGGTAAAACCGTACTTTCTGTCAAACTGTTCATAATGAATACAAAGTAATATGGAGCTAAAATTAAGTTTAAAATAATAATATAAATGTAAGCAAAGTTTATATCATAGATTATTTGTTTTTAATAAAAACATATTTACCATATTTTAAAAAGTTTTGATCTTATATGATAACATGTCAGTGTTAGTTTGGGATTTTTATTATTTTATAGTTATTTTTAAGTAGCTCTATGGAAAGTAACTTACGATTTTTTTGATGGCTTATAAACTGGAAAAAATAATAACATGCGTACATTATTTTTTCTGCATTTTCTATAGTTGTGAAATATATCTTGTTATAAGATAAACCTAAAGGGAAACAACCCTGAAGCAACTATATGCATACCCGTGAAGCAACTATATGCATACTTCGATATTCTTTGACCGCTTAGCTCAATAGGGAGAGCGTCGGATTTGTCATCAACGGGTCGTTTGTCAGGCGAAATGAAATTTCTCCCGAGACAACTGATCTCGAACATTGAGACTAACGTTCTTTTGTCATTCACCGCTGATTTTTGAAATCATGTGGGCCTATAAGTATAATGAAAGGAGAATATCACTGGTAAGTTATCCGGAACATATATATTTTTCTTTCTTTTTTTTAATTTCTATTTCATTTTATTTTATTTTGCAGCACTTAAAACAATACTAAAATAGCCCTATTTAATGTTTTAACTTCTTATATTTCTTTTATTGGGTTTAACACCGCTTAGGGATATGGCACAGTTTAACAAAATGTAATGAGGAACGATTACATCGACCAATGTTTGAGCGATATTGAAAACTAGCTGCAAGCAACGGATACTAGTAATGCCCGCCAATTTTTAAGTACAGAAATAAATCCGTATCTATCGGCTTAATGCGCAAATATTTTTGATGATTTTGGTAAAAATATGCCATAGAATTGTGTATAGTGTGTTTGGGCAAATAATTTTACATTTTAATGATTATAATATGTGTGTGTTTTGTTGTTTTTGTTGTGGTGGTTGTTTTTGTTGTTGTTGTTGTTGTTTTCTTCTTTCTTTTTTGTCTTTTCATTTCGTTGACCAGGATTATCACTTTAACTGCACGTTATCTGAAAAAACATAATGACCGGCTTGTCCCAGGGCCGCTATCCATGAGGGATGGTTTCTCTTAGTGCCGCTATACATGAGGGCTAGTTTGTCTTAATGCCGCTATACATGAGGGCAGGTTTGTCTTAGTGCCGCTATACATGAGAGCTGGTTTGTCTTAGTGCCGCTATACATGAGGGCTGGTTTGTCTTAGTGCCGCTATACATGAGGGCCGGTTTGTCCCAGTACCGCTATACCAAAGCAAGTGAAATCAACGCTGCTCAAGCGATTGGAGCCTACTTTTATATCATTATAGATAAAAGTGAACATATGAGAACAAATTGAATGTAAAATAATCCCACCTAAACTGTATTTTCATATTTGCAGAATATCGAACAAGAATCAATATAGTATCTTTTCTTCAGTTTGATAATAATTAAGTAACAGTTTTCATACTCATATGTTCAGAAATTTCTATTTCGCTTTAAATATATATTATTTTTTATGGAAAAGCAAATCTTTAAATAACTTAAAAATATCATTTGCCAAAACTGTATACTCATATGTAATCTTTCAGAATAAAATCAGCAAAGAGAGCTTAAGTGGTGTTCGACATGTAAGGAATGTTGGAAAGTAGTTTTCCTAATTAATAAGGTTTAAAATGCTGCCTTTGAATAAGAAACCGTTTACTCTACGGCTATGTAATTGTTTTAATTCTGATGATGATGTGTGCGTGCGTGTGTGTGCGTGCGTGTGTGTGTTTGTGCGTGGGTGAGTGTGTGTGTGCGTGTGTGTGTTTCTATACATTATTTAGACGTTCACATTTAAAATTAAAATAAGTTTTGTTTTTTTACGATGGTAATATCTTAAATTAACTAATACACTTTTGATATATTCTCGTGTTTAAAAAGTAAATGCAGTATACTGATAAGACGTATTAACTAGTAGATAGAAGTTTGTTAATCAATAAATATCAAAACCTGCTGTGAAATATAGTATTTCAATGTTTAGGGGATAGGAAGTTTTATTATGTCATGGTATTGAATTTCTTTAAAACAAATACATTTATATCTTAAACTAAACCAACCCCACGTACAAATCGATCGGTCATATAATTAAAATTGCTATTCCTCTATTTCTATATTATTGAGTGTTTGCAAGTGGATATATAAGTGTTTTATACATGCAGTGTTTGTTGATAGTGCCTGTACAGTTTAAGTACGGTCTAACATGCTATTTATGATATATATAATGTTTCTGAAAAGAATAATTGTTCAAGCTGTTCAGCAAATCGATAAAACATATTGACAACTATCAATGGTGGGGCTACTTTTTATAATATACATGTATGCATTTAACCTAACTAAATATCACATGATTCGTTCTCATAAATTTACTACACATTATTACAATAGGTACATGTTCAATCAAATTTGAAAGAAACAATTACTATGCTGGTGCGTTCCTGTTGTTTTCATTTTCTATATCGAAACATTTACATGCTTTAGGTTAAATTTAATAACACGGTCGAAGGAATGTTGAAGTTTCAATTTCGGGAGAATACTGTTTGCACATACATGTGTATTACAAATAGGTCCCATACCTCGATTGAATGGCTTGAGGGTCATTATTTGTACGCTTACCTAAGCAGAAAGTGGTAAGATATGTATTTTTGTAACGGCAAGTTTTCACAAGCTCGTCGATCGTCACCCGTCATCTCCCGTTTGCGGTTATCAACAATTCCTTTATACAACATTTCCTCGTAAACCACAAGGTGGATTTAACAAAACTTCAAAGAAATGATCTTTGTCTCTTAAATTTATGATGACAGACTGATACATAATTTGATTAAATGAGCTAAAATATACTTTAAACTAGCTAAAATATACTTTAAACTAGCTAAGATATTTGGCATGCAGCTATACCTTGAGGTCCTCTACAAAAGTAATATGAGCTTCTCCCACCTCGGAAGTCAGTTTTATAATTTCATATTGTGAAACTCAATATGTCCTCTTGTATTTATCGACAGTACCTAAAGCAAAGATATTTAGCGTGCAACATATCTATAAAGTTCGCATAAATTATGCCCCTGGTTTAAAAATATGGCAAACCCCGCTAGTAAGCATTTCATGGTCTAACTTTTGATCTTGGCATTATAAAAAAGTCTACAAAGAAATTGCTGTGCATTTTTTGTAGTGAATGTGTCAATGTATCTAATTTAATGTTTGAAATACATGTACTACAAGTTAAATGTTGATGTTGCACATCAAAGACGCCGCCAAATGATGTGAACAGTCACAGGTAATGTACACAATCAGAATTGAAATCGTTCTCTATTACAGTTGAATATCCGAAGCACTTATTAATTTTTTCTCCATGTTCTTGGTTTGTGTCTGAAATTATGAAATATTTGTCTGTTGCGATAAAAATTGAAACGTCTGGTCGCAGCAATAGAAATTGGTAACAATAGAAATTGAAAAGATTGGTAAATTTGAAATAAATTCAAGACAATACGTGCCTAGAATATGTCCATTTAAATATTGGTGCGAATTGCATAATGTTCGAATGATTTTGAGAAAGAACTGTCTGTTATTTTACAAATAGCAAAATATGTCTGTAATATCAAATAAAAGTTATTGATATATTGATAGTAATTGATATATACAATCAACGTATTGTTTACTTATTTATAAAAGATTAAACTGCTTGATTAAACTAAAGATTGTATATTCGCCTAGAATCTAGGTATTGGACCACAAAATGTTATAAAAAATCAAAGCATAAGAGAACAATCGTCGGTCACAGAATCCTTCAAAATAACATATTGCAAATATTTGTGATACGTTTTAAAATAAGCGTCTTTTTTTCACTTAGTTATTCTGTTTTGTAACTTTAATATTGATTATTATAACATGCCGCAGACGTTTTGCCTGTTTTCAAAATATATTTCCGCTGTGTCTGTAGCGCCAAAATAATCTCTGTTGCAAATTTTAGTGATACCTCTTGTTCAGATAATAGACGCTTCTCAACGGGTTTTAGAAAGATCGACTAGACGCTTGCAAATTCATGAACACAAAATAGACAAATATCGTTTTTTCGCCGATTATGACATTTTTCATGCATTTACATGCAAAAACGGTGTGAAAAGATGAATTAGACATTTTAAAGTTCCTTCCGTTGGGTAAAAATGCAAGATTTTAGCGTTTTATCATTCAAGCGCCTTGTCCAGTATATACCGCAATACGGTATTTAGTGTGGTTCTCCAATGCTCACTCACTATAGACTGGCTCATTGGCACGTTATGTATTAGGTAGATAAAATAAAATAATTATAAAAAGAATATGATATTCAAACATGACACTATCACTTCACTGAAACGTTTATTTTAATCCTTTAAAGCTCTGTGACATGTTGTACACCAAAAAAGCTATTTTTATTAGAAAATTTGAAAACAATTTAATTTTGTTAAAAAAAAATGCACAAAATCAAGTCTAATATTGTCCCCATTGCTATACGGAAGAATGCATATCTACTAGACGGCGCGTGCACGCGCTATGGAACGCCATAGCTGCCTCATGTTGTTACATTTCGTTTTATTTTTCCCTAAAAACGTCTTATTATGTATAATAGAAGTGTTGGTTTGCCAAAATTTAATGGGAACCTGTCTTAACGAAGACTTAGTAGGTCAAATATTCATTTTATCTTGTCAAAACGTAGTGCTGACTTGTCTAAACACTGTCTTATTATTTCAAAACGTCATGTTATCATGTGCAAATCCGGTGTTAACATGCCGAATGGAAGTCTTAATATGTTTAACATGCACGCCATCTTTTCGAAATAAGATTTCATTATGTCTGAACAAAGACTTGTTTAAATGTGGTGTTGAATTGTCATGAAATTGCCTTATCATGTGAAACAGTAGTGTTATCTTGTCATGACACTGTTGTATTATGTTATACTGTCGTTTTGTCTTGTCTAAATGTGATATTGACTTTGTCTTAACACCGTCACATTTTGTCAGACTGCCATGTCATTGTGTTCAAATTCGGTGTTATCTTGCTTAAAGAATGTCTTTTATGTCAAAATAGCATGCTGTCTTGTCTAACTGTGGTGGTAATTTGTCTAGAAATTGTCTTATTATGTGGGACAGTAGTGTTATCTTGTCGGAACTTGGTGTCAACTTTTCAAACCCATGTCTTATTATGTCGGCTAGTAGTGATACCTTGTTTAATCGTTATATTGACCTGGCTGAGTGCTGCCCTGTTTTGTCAAACTGTTTTGTTGCTTTGCATGAGGTGGTGTTATTCTGTCTAATTGTGCCAAAACATCATGCTGTCTTGTCTAAAACTGTTGTTATCCTGTCTAAAAATATACTTATTATGTGAAATACTAATGTTGACTTGCCAATAAATTTTGTTTGTTTGTGTAAACGTTATTTTATTATGTCAAACAGTATTGTTGACTTGTCGAAAGATGGTATTGACATGTCTAAACACTGCCTTATTTTCTCAGATCGCCATGCTATTTTATCCAAACTTTATGTTAACCGGCCTAAACACCGTCTTATTATGTGAAATAATGGTGGTATCTTTACAAATTATGGTTATGAACTGTTAAAACGCTATTTTAATTTGTCAAACTGTCATGCTATTATGTCCAAATGCAGATTCAACTTGTCTATCTTCGTCTTATTATGTCAAATAGTCATATCATCTTGTCGAAACGTGGTGATGACTTGTCTAAAATTACTATCTTTTTGTCAAAGTGTCATTTTATTTTGTCAAGGTTCGGTGTTATTTTTACTAAACATCGTCCTTTTATGGCGAAGTATCTTTTTTCCTTTTCAAATGTGGTGTTTACTTGTTGAAACACAGTATCATTATGTAATACAGTGGCGTTGACTTGCCAGTTTATGACGTTAACATGTCTAAATGCCGTCTCATTATGTCAGATAATCGTGTTATCCTGTCCAGATGCGATGTTGTCAAAATTTAGTATCACGTGACCAGAGCCCGCGCGGAGCGATAAAAGATAGAGCAAAAAAGATAACGGGACAGTTTAGCAAAATCAGACAGCGCTTTCTCAAGACAGAACTAAATTTGAAGAAATTTACACAATTATTAGATATAATAAGATTGTTTCTGTGTTTTACAAGAAAACATCAAATTTCGACAATAAAACACTTCTGTTTTACATTATAAGAAAGAGTTTACACAAATCATTACCACATTCCGACAAGATACCGCAATATTTTGACTTTATAAGACTGAGTTTTAACCAGTCAAAACTGTTTTTGACAAAATAGCATACAGTACATCATATTACGGCATGATTTAGCCCAGTCAACACCCTATTACGGCAAGATAATTCGAATATTTGATATAAAAAGACAATTCAGTAATGTACGTTGGCAAATTAACACAGTTGTTTGACGCAATAAAACAATGTTTAAGCATTTAAACACCGTATTTTGACAAAATAACATGGCAGTTTAATAAAATACAGCTGTGCTTTTACAAGTCAACACCAAATTACGACAAGAGAACACTACTGGTTCAAATGATCAGACAGTCCTTTGAAAAAACAGCTCCACAATTTGACCAAATAGCGCGACTAGTTGACATAATATGACACATTTCAGACAAGCCAAAACGACATGTTTGACATGATAACACTACTGTTTGAAATAATTAAACAATTTTAACACAAGTCAACATCACTTTTTAAAAAGATAAGACTATGTTAGGTTTAATAAGGCAATGTATAGACAAGTCGACAAATTACAATGGCATTACAAGGCTTAAATTTGACAAAATAAGACGCTTTCTGGGCAAGATAAAAAGAAATGTAATATCATGAGGCAGCTATGGCGTTCCATAACGCGCCGTCAAATAAAACATTGTGTTATTGTACTTTGTATGATATATGGCAACATATAAGGAAAGAAGTACAAAAATGAATATTATTTCATTTTGAAAATTTGAAGTATATTCATGTTTCAGATTAAAAAAGATACATTTCCTTATTAAGCATCCCTGTAATGATATATATTCGAAGATAACTTGGTGTCAAAGATTGAATTTCATCGGTTATATATCTTTTGGTGTTAAATATTATAATAATAATAGATGTATTTTATCTGATACATGATACATGTTGTTTGGAAAAACCCTCTGCAACATTGATTGTCAGTATTTGTCAGTGTATGATTAACATATTCCTCTGAGAGTGACGGTAGAAGGAAGATCTGTTACAATTATTTGTAAAGTAACAGAGAGAAAACTGCAACAAAGTTTCGTATGTCAAAGGCATAAGAGGACTTTAGTGGTAACTTACCTTTTTAATACTAAAAAGTGTTTAGACCTTAGTCAAGACAAATGATGTGTCGAGTAAATCCAGGTGTTACGTACGTTGTTTTCTTGATTTTAATTTTATGCTTGTAATAATGGAACATTTCATTACAATATTGATCAGTAAACGTAACTACAATATTGATCAGTAAACGTATCTAATAAGGTATCAATATTTATACTGTTTGTCAGTTAGTGTATGATAATTGCGCAGGAATTATCATTATTTTGAATTAGAATTACTTACAAAGGTTTGTATAATAAATTAAAAATTGTATACTATTAATTATATATGTATGACCAAACTATAATCTTTTCACCCTAAGTAAAATAATGGAAACGATTAGTAAGATTATTCACACGACATTTCCAACAATTGTTACAAACATAGAAGAAGTAAAAGGTT